TGGATTAAATGTATTTTCAAGGAAAAGAGTCCATCCACTTAATTTGCTTTTGATTCAGAAGCAGTTTAAATTATGAGTAGAGATAATGGGATTCGAGAATATATATTTGGTTGTCTAAATATCTTAATTCAAAGCCATTAAGACGCAACACTTTGTGAAGTGCTCCCACATGGCAAGGTCCTGGATTTGAATCCAGACGCCTCCCTGAATACACCCTGAATATGCATGTCCATGATCTTGGACCAGATGAAGCTAGGGGTGGATCACGGCATCAAGACCTTAGTGAGGTTGTTGTCTCTGTTTCTCCATATCTGTTGCTCATGGAAGAAATAAACTAAAAAATATATATTTTGGGACCAGCAGATGGTGGAGAGGTTATGTCACTGGATGCTCACATAGTCCACTGCGGTTCATGTCCTGGACCCAGTCTCTTAAAACTAATGCTGGGCGCGTATGCATGCGTTCCCAAAATCTTGAGAGGGGAATAGAGGAGAAGGGATAGTGGCCTGGTCATCCCTTTTGTGGTGAGGGTGTGATTTCTTGCTTTCTGTCTCTCTATTTCTCTCTATCTCTCTGGCAAATGCACGTGCCTTGTAGAAAAAATCTCTCCCCCCCAAAAAATATATGTTTGAATATTATATGTGTGTGTGTGCACGTGTGTATTTGACTCAGTAATACGTTTTCCAGTTTTCATATTTAACAGATCTAAAAAAGGAGCAGGGGCAAACTCCTTCTGGTCTCTCCCCAGCCACCTAGTTTACTCTCTCCAAGGCATCCAATGTTACCAGTTTCTTGTATATTTTACTATATACCAACAAATACAAAAGTATACCATTTTTTTCCCCATTTTTACATGTCGATGCTATGTCCACTATTCTATGTGTATGAACTTACGATCAGTTGCTGCCTAAGGAAAACGCAGTATAGAGTAAAATTAAAGTCTGTGGCAGTCTCCACTAGAAGCAGGTGTAGGGCTCAAAGGAGAGTGTGTTCCATCATCACATCAACTCTGCTTAGATAATTCATCAGGACTGGAAACCACGTGGTGGCGAAGGGACCTGTTCATCATGTACTACATTTTTCTGAAGCAGTGATGAGTTCTATAGCCAATGTCAATAAGAACCAGCTCTTTACCTTGTTTTTATGGAGAATTTTGCCTTTGGAGTTAGACATTTCAGTGTTTAGCACTTAGTTTAAATTTTAGTTATGACTATACTAATTAGCATTTATTTCTTTTTCCATTTTACAGATACATGGAATAAATGATTAATGAAAGATAATTAACTATTTTATAACATGTGCTGAGACATTACAGGAGCCTTATTTTTATCTTTCTTGACTTACATAAGAAACTGAGTCTAATTCATTGAGTTCTAACTGTGTATAAGGTTCTAACTGTTTAGCATTGTTGGCTCTGAAAGCAGGGACCGGGTCTTCATCAACTGCATGCTCATGCACACCCCTCCTTCTAGGAGATTCTGCTCTTCATATTTTGGGCCTCTGTGTCCAAGATGGGGGTCCTAAAATTGGGATGTGTATGAACACTTTTTTTGTACTTAATAGCTTTTTAATCTCTCCTCCTCTACTGCGATGTGGGTTCTGCCGGTATCATGTAAATACAGTGAATCAGATATATCTCCGCTTGCAAAATGATGTGTGTCAGCCCGTAGGAGGTGTGTTGTGAGTACCATTCTGTATTTCCTGCTTCTGTTTATATACCTGTCTTTCCCGCCTAGCTCTGAGAGCTTCGAGGGCATGTACTGCACCTTATCCCTTAAAGTCCAGCACTAGTAGGAATGCCATCCACCTTTGTTGATGAATGGAGATGAAGCTGACTCAGAGAACTCGGTGTATAGGGTGATTGAATGCCATGTAAGCAAGTTTCGAGTTTGGTCTGGGAGAGTAGAAAACAATAATAGATTATTGAGGGATAGTGGCCTGGTCATCCCTTTTGTGGTGAGGGTGTGATTTCTTGCTTTCTGTCTCTCTATTTCTCTCTATCTCTCTGGCAAATGCACGTGCCTTGTAGAAAAAATCTCTCCCCCCCAAAAAATATATGTTTGAATATTATATGTGTGTGTGTGCACGTGTGTATTTGACTCAGTAATACGTTTTCCAGTTTTCATATTTAACAGATCTAAAAAAGGAGCAGGGGCAAACTCCTTCTGGTCTCTCCCCAGCCACCTAGTTTACTCTCTCCAAGGCATCCAATGTTACCAGTTTCTTGTATATTTTACTATATACCAACAAATACAAAAGTATACCATTTTTTCCCCCATTTTTACATGTCGATGCTATGTCCACTATTCTATGTGTATGAACTTACGATCAGTTGCTGCCTAAGGAAAACGCAGTATAGAGTAAAATTAAAGTCTGTGGCAGTCTCCACTAGAAGCAGGTGTAGGGCTCAAAGGAGAGTGTGTTCCATCATCACATCAACTCTGCTTAGATAATTCATCAGGACTGGAAACCACGTGGTGGCGAAGGGACCTGTTCATCATGTACTACATTTTTCTGAAGCAGTGATGAGTTCTATAGCCAATGTCAATAAGAACCAGCTCTTTACCTTGTTTTTATGGAGAATTTTGCCTTTGGAGTTAGACATTTCAGTGTTTAGCACTTAGTTTAAATTTTAGTTATGACTATACTAATTAGCATTTATTTCTTTTTCCATTTTACAGATACATGGAATAAATGATTAATGAAAGATAATTAACTATTTTATAACATGTGCTGAGACATTACAGGAGCCTTATTTTTATCTTTCTTGACTTACATAAGAAACTGAGTCTAATTCATTGAGTTCTAACTGTGTATAAGGTTCTAACTGTTTAGCATTGTTGGCTCTGAAAGCAGGGACCGGGTCTTCATCAACTGCATGCTCATGCACACCCCTCCTTCTAGGAGATTCTGCTCTTCATATTTTGGGCCTCTGTGTCCAAGATGGGGGTCCTAAAATTGGGATGTGTATGAACACTTTTTTTGTACTTAATAGCTTTTTAATCTCTCCTCCTCTACTGCGATGTGGGTTCTGCCGGTATCATGTAAATACAGTGAATCAGATATATCTCCGCTTGCAAAATGATGTGTGTCAGCCCGTAGGAGGTGTGTTGTGAGTACCATTCTGTATTTCCTGCTTCTGTTTATATACCTGTCTTTCCCGCCTAGCTCTGAGAGCTTCGAGGGCATGTACTGCACCTTATCCCTTAAAGTCCAGCACTAGTAGGAATGCCATCCACCTTTGTTGATGAATGGAGATGAAGCTGACTCAGAGAACTCGGTGTATAGGGTGATTGAATGCCATGTAAGCAAGTTTCGAGTTTGGTCTGGGAGAGTAGAAAACAATAATAGATTATTGAGCATAGGAGTGATAGGTGTCCATCTCGTTCTAACAAGTTAATTCTGGTGGTATTTGAGAGGGGGAGACGTTGGGGTAAGTATACACTATATTGGGTTGTATACACTATATTAGGTTGTCAGAAAAGTCATGATGCATTTTTGCATAGAAAAACAGAAAACTAGCAAATCTCATACCAGATCTTTATAGTATTTGCAACTGAATTAATTTGACATTGTAATATGTTTGATAATATAAAATTATATGAAGCCCAGTATAATAAGGGAATATAGAGTTAATAACTGCCTTGTAATTAGTAAGGATGATTAAAAAAAAAATCTTAGTCTTTTGTTGTGTTGCTAAGAGAAATACCTGAGGCTGGGAAAATTTTAAAGACATAGAAGTATTATGATTCCCAATTCTGGTAACTGGAAAATCCAAAGACATCACAAATGGTAAAGGCAGAAATTTTAACAGGCCAGTGCATGGTCTGTATCTATGTGGTTTCTTTTCTACTCTTCTGGTTTCTTCCCCTCTTCTTACATATGCACCTGCCATACAGACCCAGCTCCAATGACAGCATCGCATCCAAAGGTGTCACCCTGTGACCTCATGAAGGAGTTATCTTTTTACTTAATACCTTTGCAATGCAATCAGTATAATCAAGTCCCAACATGTGAATTTCTGGGGGCCATCCAGTCACCACCCATTACAACCAAATTCCCAACCATAAAACCCTGGGGGCAAGAAATCCATGATCTAAATCATGACAATCAATATTTTTAAATGCTGTGTTATGGTGATAAAATAGAAAACTTAGGGCCAGGTGGTGGAACAGCAGTAATGTAACTAGACCCACATGGGAAAGGTTCTAGGTTCACATCCTGGGACCTCCCTGAGCATGCTGGTATATGCATGTGTACCTGTGATTTGGGTTGGCTAAGACTGGGATAAATCATAGCATAAAGATGCCTATGTCTCTGTCTCTGTCACTTTCTGTCAATTTCTCCCTCTCATGAAAGAAAGAAAGAAAAACACAAATAAATAAAATAGAAAACTTATCAGGTGAGTAAGAGTGTTGCTTTGAGAGATTCGTTCTCATCTCTTGGTCCTATAGACAGTAACAAATCCTTTTTCTTTGCTCTTAGATGCTAGGAGATTTACATGGTGGTTAAGGCACTGGATTTCCACATGGCCAACTCTATGGTTCAAGTCTCAAGCTTGGCAGCCTGTAAAATATGCTGGGCATGTATATGTGCATGCCCAAAATCCCAAGAGGAGACTGGAGGAGAAGGGACTGAGGCATGGCATCTCCTCTGGGGGGGGGGGTGATTTATCACTTTCCTTCTCTCTCTGTCTCTCTTTGGTAAGCACATGTGCCCTATAGCAAAAATCTAAATTAAAAAAAGAAAGAAAAAGAAGGATAAGTTACAGACTTATTATGTCTGTGTTCCAGACATTGGACTCCAAACATAAAACAAATATTAAATTATTCTACCCTATGTAATAGAAGTGTTTATGTAAGGTGTATAATCATTAAATCAGCCTTGAGTGTATTGAAGTAAATGTGATGTGCTAACGTAAATTACTCTTTAAAGAAGCTCTGTGATGAAACTTTTATATAATAAAGCACTTTTAAAAACTGAAATCCAAATATGCTCACCTATTTTGATGGTTTTTCCCAAGGCAGGATATTGTGTATCTTCTGCGCTGATTGACTTCCAAGTTGGCCAACACCTGCCTGGTTAATTGAGTAAGCCATTAACTTAGTGACACTGGAACCCTACAAAGGAAAAAACAGAATCTACTGTTGTACAGTCTCGGCTATTAAATAGATTTTAATTCACTTCAGCTTGGGTGGGTGTGATTTGCATCTTCCTAACAGACAAGCATCTGCAAGTGTGTTGCCTGCAGAAGCTCATTAAAAATCAGTGCAAATCCTGACACTGTCCCTAACAGCAGGCGTTAGCTTGCAGAGCCTCCTGAGTGGATTGTATTTCTAGTATCAGTAAAGTATATACACTCTTT